GAGCAGAAGGAGAAGGAGAAGGAGGATCACAAGGTCAAGAGATCAAGACCATCCTGGTCAACATGGTGAAACCCTGTCTCTACTAAAAATACAAAAAATTAGCTGGGCATGGTGGCATATGCCTGTAATCCCAGCTACTCAGGAGGCTGAGGCAGGAGAATTGCCTGAGCCCAGGAGGCGGAGGTTGCGGTGAGCCGAGATCGCGCCATTGCACTCCAGCCTGGGTAACAAGAGCGAAACTCCGTCTCAAAAAAAAAAAAAAAAAAAAAAAAAAAAAAAAAAAAAAAAAGGAGAAGAAGGAGAAGGAGAAGGAGAATGAGAAAAAGAAGCTACGGCCCATTTTAAGCAGTTTAGTGAATGCTGTGTTGGATTCTGGATGGAAAAGGCAACATGCTGGGTCCCTGTGTTGCTAAAGAACCACTCTATCATTGCTAGGCTGTGCCAGCCGGATTCTTAGTTTTTCTGTCACTTTAAACAGTGGCATTCCCAGTGACGTGGCCAGACGGTACCCTGCTGGCCTGGGGCCCTCTAGCCATTTCCTGAGTTGCTGTCTCTGTCACACCAAGTTTGGTCACAGCTCCAGCCGTGGGATGGCCGTGCTCAGCAGTCAGTGCGCTGCCCTCCAGGCCTTTCCCACATTCTGGTTGGTTGTTTCTCCCTCCTATTCTTCATTCCCATACAAGAGAAAGTACTGTGAGGCCAGCGTCCTCACGCAGCCAGCCCCCGACAAGGCAGCCCTGTCGCTCCTCCTCTTCCAGGGCAGAGAACCCAACCTGCACCCTGAATTTGACTCAGAATGGGCATGCTGCCCACCTCTCCCTGCCTTGCCTCCTTCCTGAGGGCCCACTGTGCACTTGGCACTGTGCTGGATAATTTTCCTTAGCCGAGGACCTTTTGCCTTCTTCACTCTGGTCAGTGACTTGTTCCATAGTCCATGGTTCTCAAAAGGAGATTCACAAACCACTGTGCAGAGTCCCTTGGAAGGCTTGCTAAAGATGAGATTCCTGAGACTCATCAGGACTGAAGAAGGAAAGGTACTGAAGCCTTCCCCTGGTGATTTAATACTTGCCTTAATCAGAAAGTCATGGCGTCAGCTCCTGAAGTCCCTGTCTATTACCTTTCCAGAAGTACCTGGGCCTTGGGAATGGGAAGCAGATTGTTTTCTTGTTTGTTTGTTTTGAGACAGGGTCTCTTTCACCCAGGATGGAGTGCACTGGCGTGATCACTCTCACTGCAGCCTTAACCTCCTGGGCTCAATCCATCTTCCCACCTCAGCCTCCCAAGTAGCTGGGACTACACGCCACTATGCCTGGCTAATTTTTGTAATTTTTTTTGCATTTTTTCTAGAGATGAGGTTTCATCATGTTGCCCAGGCTGATCTCAAACTCCTGGGCTCGAGCAATCCACCCACCTCAGCTTTCAAAGTGTTGAGATTGCAGGCATAAGCCACTGTACCCTGCCAGATTGGTCTTTATTCCCAGGAATGTTCAGACTCAAGGCTGCTTTTCCTGTCTCTCTCTTGGTCTAAGCCACTTGTGGAAGCTGTGGAGTATTGGACTCTGTAAATACCCCAAGCAGCCAAACTACTTAGGCTTAATGGTTAACTACTGGGCTTTAACTACTCACAGAAAAATGATTTCTCCCTAGAAAAGAGGAATATTCTCTAGAAAAGAGGAATGTTCCCTAGAAAAGAGGAATGTTCCAGGGATTTATATGACCTTGCACAGGTCACATGACTTCGCACAGGTCACATGACTTCTTTGACTCTCCAGCAGGGGCACCATAATACCATTTTTCTTATCTGAAATCCCTCCTCAGCACCTGAGGCCATTCTGCATGGCTCCTGATCCTCATTAATGTCCGACTGTACAATGTAAGACCTTCAGAAGCCCAGAGCTTGTTTTACTCATCCATGTATCACCACTTCATGTTACGGAGAGCTGGAAGCACCATTCATCTTATAGACATCATAGCTTTGTAGAGTTATAACAATTTTTCACAGACGGCAGTAGAGTGACTAGGAAGCCGTCTTTTCCCTTTCATGACAAAGCCACCATATTGGCTTGGCTGCAGTTGGCATCCCCAATACTTAGAATACTTAGCACATGGTAGATACTCAACAAATATCTGCTAAATACATTTCCCCAACATTCTGGTCACAAAAATGTCATACAGAAAAGTTGAAACAATAGTACAGTGAAGATCTGTAGACCCCTATTTAGATTGAATAAATGTTAACATTTGCTATAATTGCTTTGGGTGTGTGCGTTTGCTCTTCTTGCCGAATCATTTGAAAGGTAGTTGCAATCATCACGATACTTGACCCATAAATATTTCAGCAGGCATCCCTTGAGAATTAGGACAGTCTATATATAACTGCAATACCATTATCACAACTAATAATAATTAACCATTATTTCCTAATATCCAATTGTCGAAGTTGCTGGTAGTGCTCTACCCACATCCCCTGGGCCTACCTAGAAGTTCCCTGCAACGAGTTCCTGTATAGCCAGTGACTTCCTGAGCATTTGCCTGGACATCTTGGCCAGCTTGAGAGAGTATACTCTGCCCTCACAGGGCACACTGAAAGTGCCAGGGAGTCAACACCTTGAGAGCGTCCCTCAGCCGGAGATAGAGAGAAGTTGGTGATAAATACTGACGCTTCCTTCTCCATCAGGAGTTGATTCTGAGGTGTGTTCCACAGACCTCGTCCAAGGCTCCAGGGGGACAGTTGCTCACAGCAGTAACCTGTTCATTAAAACATTCTTTACTAGTTTCCTCCCTTTCCTATCTTACGTCCTTACTATGCTTTCTGAGATCACCTTTTTCTTTTTCTGTTTTTGAGACAGGATCTCACTCTCGCCAAGGCTGGAATGCAGTGGCCCAATCTCGGCTCATCACAACCTCTGCCTGCCAAGTTGAAGGGATTCTCCCACCTCAGCCTCCCGAGGAGCTAGGATTACCGGCGCACGCCACTACCGTGTGGCTAAATTTTGTATTTTTAGTAGAGATGGGGTTTCACCATGTTGGCCAGGCTGGTCTCGAACTCCTAGCCTCAAATGATCTACCCACCCCACCTTGGCCTCTCGAAGTGTTGAGATTGCAGGTGTGAGCCATCGCCTGGTCGAGATCACCTTTATATAAACTACTTGCATTCAAAGCTCTGTCTCAGGGTCTGCTTTGGAGGGACCGAGAACCAAGACACCACTCCATTGCTAAATTCATTTTAAAATGACAGTATTGGATCCCTAGAGAAGCAAACTCAAGGGCTGGACGCTGTGGCTCACGCCTGTAATCCCAGCACTTTGGGAGGCCAGGGCAGGAGGATCATCTGAGGTCAGGAGTTCAAGACCAGCCTGACCAACATGGTAAAACCCCTTCTCTACTAAAACTACAAAATTAGCTGGGCCTGGTGGTGCATGACTATAATCCCAGCTTCATGGGAGGCTGAAACAGGAGAATCGCTTGAACCCAGGAGGCGGAGATTGTTGTGAGCCAAGATCGTGCCATTGCACTCCAGCCTGGGTAAAAGGAGCAAAACTCCATCTCAAAAAAAAAAAAAAAAAAAAAAGCAAACTCAGAGCTTGCTTAGGTGGTGCTTGCATCCCAGCCCACAGGAGCTGCTCTTAGCTCTGACTTTTGCTTGAAGAATGCTGTAGTGAGGTTATGTTGATTTAGGATGCCCTGCCCAGCCTATATTAATAATAATAATAAGAGCTACTGTTTACTAAGAGCTTACTGTGTGCCAGCTTCACATGCTTCATTTCATTTAATCCTCACAGTGACTCTGTAGAGAGGTTACTATTACTATTTCCATTGTATTGATGAAAACCCCGAGGCTCACGGAGGTAAAATAACTTTTCAAAGTAACACAACTAGTAAGAGGCAGATCGCTGGTGTGCTTCAGCCATGTGTTAAAATGTGTGGATAACTAGCTGGGGGTGGTGGTGCATGCCTGTAATCCCAGCTACTGGGGAGGCTGATGCAGGAGAATCTCTTGAACTCAGGAAGCGGAGGTTGCGGTGAGCCAAGATTGCACCACTACACTCTAGCCTGGGCAACGAGAGCAAAACTCCGTCTCAAAAAAAAAAAAAAAAAAAAAAAATCTGTGGATAACTATAAGTATTCTTCTGTTATATTTTTGTGTAAATGGGAACAATAGTACTTGGCAGATAAAATTTGCATTGTTAACAATACCATAAACATCATGTAATGTAAGGATCCCCCAGTCAGGTGAGAGCCTCAAGGGGATTAAACTGCTCCCTGGGCCAAGGTGGGTAGATTGTTTGCAGCCAGTTCAAAACCAGCCTAGGAAACATGGTGAAATTTCATCTCTACCAAAAATATACACATAAACAAAGTTTAGCTGGGCATGGTGACACACACTGGTAGTCCTAGCTCCTTGGGAGGCTGGGAGGCAGAGGTTGCAGTCAGCCTCAATCGTGCCCTTTGCACTCCAGCCTGGGCGACAGAGTGAAACCCTGCCTCAAAAAGCAAAAAACAAAAAAACTGTTGCCTGCCATGCCTGGCTTGGTACAGCTTATGTGCAGGGTTTGGGTTACTAGCGGTAACTAAGACTTTTCCAGCATTATTAAGTTGTGTAGAATCTTCCAATGTTTTCCCTGCTGCGAAAGTCAGACTTCTCGGATTTGTCCCATCACAATCCCCAGACTAGTAGATGATCAAAACGCAGTCATATTACTTGAATATGACAATTTTCAGTGAGATGCACTACAATTTTCAGTGAGATTTTTGTGAAAGTTCAGGCTTTCTTAGAATAAAACATCCCTGTTAGTAATATCCGGCCCCACCTAGCAACCTAGGTACATATAGAAAGTTAGATCTTAAGAAGGTGTCTTTCCCAATTACTGTCTTTTCCAGGACTCCATAAAGAGAAACAGACTTTGAACCCAAGTTATCTTATTTATTTGACCCTACTGTCATAAAGTGTTCAAATTCAAGTATTATAAAGGATTGTAACAGGGAAAGCATTTAGGGTTTTCAAGCGGAGAAACAGTTGGCCAAGGAAGTCAGCTTCTCGGAGCTCAAGAGGTAAGTGGAAAGACTGTCTTATATAGAAAGTAGACAGTCATACAGATTAAAAACAAGCCAAGTGAGGGAAATACATTCTGAAAAAGTTGCTGACTCAGTGGAGTGGAGGGAAAGAGAAGACAGATTCGCCCCCTTAATAGGGCGGGATGAGGTCTGCCAAGAAGCCTGCACTTGCAGTTTTTATTGAGTACCAGTAGTGGAGCGTGCTTGAGAACACTCTACTAGTGACCACATTCTGAAATCATCACTGTTACAACACTGTGATAGATAGAAATCTTTTTGGCAGATATTTAAAATTACAAAAGAATCAATATTAGTAGTAATTGCATCTTACAAAAAGATTGATGCGGGCTTGTCTGCCAGAAAGGGTGGGCCTGGGATGAATGAAACTTACTCCTGTCGGGACACGCCTGGGACAGCGGAGGAGTGGAGCAGGTCCAGAGAAGTCATAGGTATGTTTCAGCTGTTAAAAGTTAAGGGGAGAGAACTCCAAATGGCCAGGGAGTGGAAGGGATTAACAGCAGCTTCTTTCTTTTTTTTTTCCTTTTTGAGACTGAGTCTCATGCTGTCACCCAGGCTGGAGTGTGGTGGCATGATCTCAGCTTACCGCAACCTCCGCCTCCCGGGTTCAAGTGATTCTCCTGCCTCAGTCCCCGAGTAGCTGGAATTACAGGCACCCGCCACCATGCCTGGCTAATTTTTTTTTTTTTTTTGTATTTTTAGTAGCAATGTATTTTTGTATTTTGTATTTCTCGTAGAGATGGGGTTTCACCATATTGGTCAGGATAGTCTCAAAATGCCTGACCTCAGATAATCCACTGGCCTCAGCCTCCCAGATCACACTGGGATTACAGGTGTGAGCCACTGCGCCCAGCCTAACAGCAACTTCTTAAAGGAAAAGAATATTAATCTAGGCAGTAGATTGGGTAGGAGGGTGGTTAAGAGTAGGGTATAGTAAACCAGGTGTGGTGGCTCATGCCTGTAATCCCAGCACTTTGGGAGGCTTGAGGTGGGCAGATCACCTGAGGTCGGGAGTTTGAGACCAGCCTGACCAACGTGGAGAAACCCTGTCTCCACTAAAAATACAAAATTAGCTGGGCGTGTGCTGCATGCCTCTAATCTCCCCAGCTACTTGGGAGGCTGAGGAAGGAGAATCACTTGAACCTGGGAGGTGGAGGTTTTGGAGAGCGGAGATTGAGCCATTGCACTCCAGCCTGGGGCAACAAGAGCAAAGCTCCATCTCCAAAAAAAAAAAAAAAAAAAAGAGTAGGGTGGTAGTAGTGTAGTTAAGAGCACGGTCTTGGGAGCCCTGGGTTCAAATTCTGACCTTGACATTTACTATATATGGAATCTTGGGCAAATTACATAATCTTTTTAAATCTATAGAAACTACTTCAAGAGGGTTGTTGGAGGCTTGTGACTGAAATAATGTATGTAAAGTGCTTAGCACAGTCCCTGTTGCACAAAAACTTTTCCATATGTGGTTCCACTATATTTATAGTAGTACTCTTGAAGGGAAGTAATCAATATATATATTTTTTCTGAGATGGAAGTGGAGAATATCTTAGGGAGAGTTGAAGCAAAAGCAGGAAGGGAGAAAGGACCCCTTTTATTTATTATTTTTAGTCCATACGGGTCAAGAGGAAGAGAGAGAGAGAGAATGAATAGTGGGAGACAGCCAAGATTAACATGGTTTAAAACTAGAAGCCGCGTTTCAGTTAAGTCTTTTCTAAGTACACACCATTTGAATCTATGGGATTTGGAATATTCTCAGAAACTCTCTATTATCATAGAAAAACTTTACAAAAACAACCCAAGAGAAGCTTTCAGAACAAGAATTATTTTGTTCAGTAGGGACTGTCTGAGAATGACACAAGTTTCATTCTGTTTGGTTCTCTAGGGAAGACTGGTTTTATGTTCCCCGGGGCACCCTAACGCTTGTCTATCTGACACAGCCTATTTCCTTGTGGTTTTCTTAATGTTGCTTTAAAAAAAAATGTCTTACTACTAAATGTACTTTGAACTTAGTCAGACAGGGTTGTTTAATTAAAAGCTAGAAGTAGTACCGTTATAGTTGTGATGATTCATCTGGGACTTCACTTTAAATGCGCAATAGACAGAAGGAAGGTTCACAAACTCATTGTAGACCAAAGTACAAAGCCAACTGTGCTCTTTTTCCCTGAGTAGATCCGACGTTAACTCATTAAAGATGGCATGGAAGCACAGTGTCATTATGCAAATGGGAAGATTTCTTCTCTTAGTAATTTTATTTCTGCCACGTGAGATGACAAGTAAGTTAAAGTTCGTTTTGGTCTCTGTTTAGATAAAAGAAAAATTTCTGATTAAGAAAAATGATCACTGGGCATTGGATATATCCTTAAATTCCAAATTGGAATGACTATGCAGTTAGCATGGCTCACAGTATATGAGTCAGATAACAATAAGAAATCAAATGGAAAAATACTGTTTTCAGGGTTTTATTATCACAAGACAAGGTGAAATATTCTGTTCTCTCCAGAGCCACCACCGGAATCCTCCTACATTTGAATGCATTTTATTACTGATGTTACCCCAAATCATCTTCTGTTTATCTAAACATACCGTTTAGATAAAATCTTTCCATGAAGATAAAGATTTAGATAAAATCTTTCCACATGAAAATCTTTCCAGCATTTGCTCCCCCACCACTCTTTTCTGATTTTAAAAGTAATGCATAGTCATTGTAAAATAAAGTAGGCAGTCTATAAAAAAAATAAAGTACAAAACCCCCCAAATATTGACATCCAGAGATGACAATCACTCAATATTTTGGTACATATTCTTCCATATTTTAAAAATATACTAGACAACAATACCATTATCTTTACAAGTAGCTTAAGATTTTTTTGTTCATTTTTGTTTTTGAGATGGAGTCTCACTCATGTTGCCCAGGCTGGAAAGCAGTAGTGAGATCTCGGCTCACTGCAACCTTCACCTCCCGGATTGAAGTGATTCTCCTGCCTCAGCCTCCTGAGTAGCTGGGATTACAGGCGCCCGCCACCACACCTGGCTACTTTTTTTTAGTAGAGACGGAGTTTCACTATGTTGGCCAGGCTGGTCTCAAACTCCTGACCTCAGGTGATCCACCCACCTCTGCCTCCCAAAGTGCTGGGATCACAGGCATGAGCCACCACCACTTAGGCCAGCGTAAGTTTTTTTAAAAGGAAGATTAATGTGTTTATAGAATATATTAACAAATATTATCTGGGGTGCAGGTTTGTGACAGATAAAGTTCCTTTTTAGCCTTTGTTACTTAGTTTTAAAACAGGAAAATAAAAACCAAAATTCAGGTGTATTACCATGCAATGAATAGATTTCTAAAAGCCAGAGCTGAAAAAACAAAAGAAAGCAAAACTATGTATTCCGATCACCCAACCCACGAAGACAAACCCCACAACTTAAACCTACCACACAAACCCCAACTACTTAAACATCTTTTTATTTTCTTCACTACCAAAACAATATCAAAACATTATAGATGCAAGACCCAATTTGTCCATAATCCTATCATTTAATCAGAAAAGTGTTTTCAAATCAGTTCTTACCCGTAAGCATGTGCAATTTTGATAAAGTTGTAGTAATTATTAGAGCTTTAACTTATATTCTGCTTTTTTGCCTAATGTTATGTCTTATTTTTCCATTTTATTCCCTTGTTTTCCTACTTTCAATCTCTTCAAGTAAACAAATTAAATATGGTATGTGTATATGTATATATGTATATACATATACATATGTATGTGTGTGTATTCGATATATATGAGATTTTTCCCCAAGTCTTTTTTTCATATTTACACACACACACACACACACACACACACACACACACGATCATTCTGTATGTATTGGTTTCTAATCTGGTGGTTCGAAAACTTCACTGCATATTAGAATCACCTGGAGGCGGGTGGGTGGGGTGTTTTAAATAACACAGTGCCCAGGTTGCACTCATGTCAACTAATCAGATGTCTGGGGATGAGAACCAGGCATCAGTACTTCGTTTTGGAGGCAGGGTCTTGCTCTATCACCCAGGCTGGAGTGCAGTGGTGTGATCTTGGCTCACTGCAACCTCCACCTCCTGGGCTTAAGCGATTCTCCCACCTTTTCCTCCCGAGTAGCTGTAAGTACAGGTGCACACCATCACACCTGGCTAATTTTTTTTTTAATTGTAGAGACGGGGGTTTCACCATGTTATCCAGGCTAGTCTTGAACTTCTGTGCTTGAGCGATCCTCCCACCTCCCCCTCCCAAAGTGCTGGGATTACAGGCATAAGCATTAGTACTTTTTAAAAGATCCCTTGGTGATTCCAATGTGCACCAAAATTTGATGACCACATTTTAATCTTTTTCCTTTTCAGTTAATACATTATGAATATTTTTCATTATAAAATCATATAGAGCAATATGACTGTTTTTAATTGTTGAGAGCTTATTTTGTTCTACTGATGTACATAACTTATTTAACAATCCCCTGTTCACGGGCATTTAGGTTGTTTATCTGTATAGCTGTATATCTAAATAGTTTCTCCCTATACTCCCAGGTTCTGTTTTAACTGTGAATGGTAAAACTGAGAACTATATCCTGGATACTACACCTGGCTCCCAAGAATCTCTGATATGTGCTGTTCAAAACCACACCAGAGAGGAAGAACTGTTCTGGTACCGAGAAGCAGGGAGAGTGGATTTGAAATCTGGAAACAAAATCAATTCCAGCTCTGTCTGTGTCTCTTCCATCAGTGAAAATGACAACGGAATCAGCTTTACCTGCAGGCTGGGGAGGGATCAATCCGTGTCCATTTCGGTGGTGCTGAATGTTACTTGTGAGTAAGAGGAAAGGAAAAGGCTAGTGGGTCTTTCATGTCTGTAACACAGGAAGTGGTAATTGAAATCTAGGTCTTGGTATTGCCAAATTGCCCAATTTATGCTTCCACCACAAAGCATGAGAGTACTTATTTCCCCTCATCCTCATGAGCACTGAGTATCATCAAACTCTAAGAATTTACCAGCCTCATTTGAAATTTTCTTTTCCTTTTTTTTTGAGACGGAGTCTCACTCTGTTGCCCAGGCTGGAGTACAGTGGTGTGATCTCGGCTCACTTCAACCTCTGCCTCCCAGGTTCTAGCAATTCTCCTGTCTCAGCCTCCTGAGTAGCTGGGACTACAAGCACGCACCACCACGCCCGGCTAATTTTTAATTCTTGTATTTTTAGTAGAGACAGGGGTTTCAGCATGCTGGCCAGGCTGGTCTCTGGCTCCTGACCTGAAGTGATCCACCTACGTCAGCCTCTCAAACTGCTGGGATTACAGGCATGAGCCACTGAGCCCAGCCTATTTTCATTATTTAAATTAAGAAGGAGTGTTCACATTTGCATAAATATATTGGCCTTTTTTTTTTTTTTAATGAAATGCCTGCTTGTATCCTTAACTGTTTTTTGTTTTGTTTTGTTTTGTTTTTTTTCTGTTGGGTGTTATGCTTTTTCTCATTAATCTGTACAAGGGCTTTGCAGATTAAGGACATTAGTCCTTTGTCATTTTGAATTGTAAGTATTTCTCCTATTGGTTTTTGAAAAATTTTTTAGTTCTTTTTTTGCCATATTGATTTTAAATGTTTATATATTTATTTATTTATTTATTTATTTATTTATTTATTTATTTATTTTTTGAGACGGAGTTTCGCTCTTGTTACCCAGGCTGGAGTGCAATGGCGCGATCTAGGCTCACCGCAACCTCCGCCTCCTGGGTTCAGGCAATTCTCCTGCCTCAGCCTCCTGAGTAGCTGGGATTACAGGCACACGCCACCATGCCCAGCTAATTTTTTGTATTTTTAGTAGAGACGGGGTTTCACTATGTTGACCAGGATGGTCTCGATCTCTCGACCTCGTGATCCACCCACCTCGGCCTCCCAAAGTGCTGGGATTACAGGCTTGAGCCACCGCGCCCGGCGAATGTTTATATATTTAAAGCTACAAGTCTTTTCCTTTGTAGCTAGCTTTTGTGTGCCGCTTAGACAGATTTTCATGATGGGGCACAGTGGCTCATGCCTGTAATCCCACCACTTTGGAAGATCAGGAGTTCAAGACCAGTCTGACCAGCCTCTACAAGAAATACAAAAATTAGCCAGGCGCAGTGGTGGGCACCTGTAATCTCAGCTACTCGGGAGGCTTAGGCAGGAGAATTGCTTGAACCCAAGAAGCGGAGGTTGTAATGAGCTGAGATGCCACCACTGCACTCCAGCCTGGGCAACAGAGTGAGACCCCATCTCAAAAAAAAAAAAAAAGAAAGAAAAAGAAAAAAAAGATTTTTATTAGGGAGTCTTCAAACCTCACCTTAAAATAAAAAAACATGAAGCTCTTCAATGCATGGGTTCCAGGTATTGGTAACCCATTGATGGACTGTACAGGCTTAGGGGACTGTCAAGTGATATTATGTATGTGATCACATGGGTCGTTGGGTGAAAAGCTGGTTCTGCATGAGAATGGCGTGGGTGGTATGGTGATGGGTGAGGTAGGATGGTGCAGTATGATTTGGTAGAAAGACCTGTCTCTACAAACATAACATAGTGAGACCCTACTCCTACCAAAAAAAAAGTTTGTTTTTAGTTAGCTGGGCATGGTGGTGTACACCGGTAGCCCCAGCTACTCGGGAGGCTCAGGCGAGAGGATCACCTGAGCCCAAAAGCTTGAGGCTTCAGCGAGGTGTGATTGTGCCAACCTGGGCAACAGTGAGACCCTGTCTCAAAAAAAAAAAAAAAAATGACAGCTAAGGAAACTAAGGCCCAGAATAGGGGCTGAAATCATAGCTGCAGCTGAGAACAAAACGCTAATTCCCAAGCTTTTAATCTAGTGCTTAAGTGCTTACTCAATGAAACTTATTTTATTTTATTTTATTTTATTTTGAGACAGTGTCTCACTCTATCAGTTAGGTGGCACAATCTCAGGTCACTGTAACCTCTGCCTCCCAGGCTCGAGTGATCTGCACAGGAGTCTCAGCCTCCCAAGTAGCTGGGACTACAGGTGCACACCAACATGCCGAGCTGATTTTTGCATTTTTTTGTAGAGATGGGGTTTTGCTATGTTGCCCAGGCTGATGCAACCCTCTTAAGGGAGACAAGGCAGAAATGCTGACAATGCGATCTGATGACTTAAAGAAATTGTTTTTAGTCCAGGTGTGGTGCCTCACGCCTATAATCCCAGCATTTTGGGAGGCCGAGGCAGGCAGATCACCTGAAGTCAGGAGTTCAAGACCAGCCTGGCCAACACGATGAAACCCTGTCTCTACTAAAAATACAAAAATTAGCGGGGCATGGTGGTATATGCCTCCGTAGTCCCAGCTAACTGGGAGGCTGAGGCAGGGGAATTGCTTGAACCTAGAGGTGGAGGTTGCAGTGAGCTGAGATCACACCACTGCACTCCAGCCTGGGTGACAGAGTGAGACTCCATCACAAAAAAAGAAAAAAAAAAAAGTTTTTAGTTTTCCAGCCTCAATTCACTTTTTAAATCATCTTTATAACAATCTCCTAAATATCATTGTTGCTAAGTGTGTGTGTATATGTGTATAGTTAATTGCTCAGTAATCTACAATGACAACACCGACACAAACTCATCAACAAATAAATCAAAATGAGCTCATAAAATGTGACAATGATATTAGGTCCCATTCAAAGGCAGTACCATTCTTGCTATAAATAGCAGATTAAGAACTAAATGGAAACTTGATAACACACTGTTTGGGGGAGAATGTGGAGAAACAGGTTCTCTTATACATCATTGTTGAAAGTTTAAATTGAAAACACCTCTTTTATAATATCTACCAAAATTTAAAGTGTGCATATCCTATGACACAGCATTTCTCCTTCTAGATATTAACCTTAGAGAAATACATGCACATGAGCATAAAGAGATACGGACGAGGATGTTTATTGTAGCATTGTTTAACATTTTAACGTGAAAACAGTCTAATGCCCATCAAAACACAAATGATTAAAAAGGCATACACTATGTGATAGCACCCTAAAAGCAATAAGCTAGATCTCTGTGGTTCAATATGAATATATCCAAAAAGCATGCAAGTTATTGAGAGAAATGGAGTGTTTTATGTAAATCCTTCCCATGCTCCTAAAATAAAACCACATATTTCCTATGGGCACACTATATGTAGAGAAAACTATTTAAGAGAAAAGAAATATAGGGAAAGATTTACACCAAACTCATAGCAGTGGGTATCTCTGGAGATTCAGGAAGTGACCAGGTTGGACCTTAGCTTTATCTGAAATGTACTAATTTTTAGAGAGGGGATATTCACATATACTGTTATGCTTAAATTAATTTCAAATCATTACATAAAAAGAAATCACTAACAGAATCTGTCCACAAATGGAATTGTTCTATTTGGCAATTAGATTCTCTCTTCCAGCAGCTTCCTACATATCTGAATACCATGTAACATCCTTGTTGGATATGATACAGAATTCAAGCTCATTCCAAAGAGCAACAAAATGTCATTCTTCTGAGAGAGTTATTAATAGCACAGCCTACTCAGGGTCTAATTATTCAGTGTGCAGATTATACAAGCTCCTTTTTCCTCCTTCTCCGCCTCTACCTTTTTCCTAGTTCCACTCTCCAACCATTTCGTTACTATTCTGCACCTCTGCCAGAATATGCAAGGTGCTATACATTGTCTGTGGGCCTACAACTGCCTTTATTGTAGAGGGAATTGGAGTTGCTCACATGGAGCGATGAGAGGGGATTCACTTGCCTTCCACAGATGCCAGAGTTGTCATGCTTAGAACACCTTCTGGGAGGAGGACATTATTTCTAGAGGATCACTGAGAAAACACAAAGATGCATTGGTAAATATGTTACCAAGGCAATTGTTAGAGAAAATGCAAAAACAGACGGTGAGAGTAACCCTCAAAACCACCACCACCGTAATAATAATAGTAGCTAGCACTGTGGCAAATGCTTTACAGGGATTATTTTGTTTAATCTTTACAGCAACTCATGAGATGTATGATTATCCCATTTTTTTTAACGTGAGAAACAGAGGTCTTAGCAGTTAGTTGACTGTCTCAAAGTCACAGTAAATGGTGTGGATGGAATGAGGTCTAATTGCAATGCATGTCTTCTTAATTTTGTACTGTTTTGTGCAACCCTAACACAGGTTGTTTTATTAATTCTCAGAGAACAAAGACTCAAGACTGATACTCTTAGGTAGTGTTACAAATTGTCTGCTGGTCATAGATTCATTACTGTATATATTATATTCATAATCCTATGTTAGTTCATGGTTTGTCTTCTTCATCACATTAAAAGTTGTATGAGATTTGGAACTGGAAGTATTATTTGCCCTTGTTACCCCAGTGCTTGGCACACAGTAAGTATTTAATAAATTTTTTGTCAAATGAATAAATAACCAGATGAGATAGACTGAAGGAAGACCTTGACCTCTGACAGTGAACTATTGCTTATCTGCTAATTAAATCTAAATGCTTGAGTCCTGCAGTTCCTCCTCTCCTAAGTGGAAATGACTTCCAAACGGCGGAGGAAGGCAGTGATGTGAAGTTGGATTGCAATGTGATAGCCAACCCCCAGGCTCAAATGATGTGGTACAAAAACAGCAGTCCCCTGGATTTAGAGAAAAGCCATCACCAAATCCAACAGACAAGTGAGTCTCTTCAGCTGTCAATCACCAAAGTCAAGAAATCTGACAATGGAACCTACAGTTGTATTGCAAAGTCACCTCTGAAAACGGAGAGCTTGGACTTTCACCTGATTGTTAAAGGTAACACTCTTTTAAAGTAATACTCAGCACAGTGCAAAACTCAGATTAGATGCTCAGTAAATATTTTTGGTGACAATAAATAATAATAACAGTTATGATTAGTAGCTCGGATTTTCTTTTGAGAATCATCCCCATCCAAGGGTTTTTCCACTAAGAATCCTAGTCCATCCTTTTAGGGAAATCTTGCCCATTCCATATAGGACACTGTTTTTTGAGCAAAGATCCTTTCTTAGAACCAAATATAGAAAACAATTCTGCTTGGCTTTTAGGGAGGAGAATTTCCATGAATTCTTCTGGGCAACAAGGTGTATAGCAACTAGACTTTGGAGTTCACAGCCTCATAACAACAGAAGAGAAGTAAAAAGACACAGAGAGAAGAAAAACTAGGACTAGATAAGAAAATAGATCTCTGCTATCACTCCTAACTCAAATTCTAACCTGTAGGCTAATCAGCAGAGAGAGTAGGAAAAAAAAAATAAGATGGAAGAAAGCCCTTTCTCTTGGATTCATGCTTCATCTACCCAGGGTTATCACCTCTACAATGACAGAACAAATGAAGCTCTGAGGGGTTTCCCCTCCTCATATTTTTTGCTCATACAAAAAGAGAAAGGCAGAATACCTAGGGTAGCAGATGCCGAAAACGCTTATTCACACATTGTCTGGTCTCACGCCAGTATCCCAGGAGCAGCCCAACAAGCTGAGACTCCTGTATCTTGTTAGAACAGTATTCACTTTGTCATTTGCCTCCTCGTATCCCCTCATTGCCAGTCTTGCCAGCCCCCAGGAAGCCAACTGAACCCCTGCCCGAAGTGTTCTGGTGATGTAACCATGGGATGTCTTATTTCCTTCCCCGTGAGGGGAACGGTTATAGGATATGAACAGAGCGGCTGGTAGGGAAGAAGAGTTGCTGGTGGTTGAATACCCATCACTGTCATTCGTGGCATAATAAGTAATTCATTCTGCAGAGCAGTAGTAATATGCCCAGGGGCTACTTGTTTTAAAAACCAAAGCTGCCTGTAATTCCAGCACTTTGGGAGGCCAAGGCAGGTGGATCACCTGAGGTCGGGAGTTCAAGACCAACCTGATCAACATGGAGAAACCCTGTCTCTACTGAAAAAAAAAAAATACAAAATTAGCCAGGCATGGTGGCGCATGCCTGTAATATCAGCTGCTCAGTGGCTGAGGCTGAAGAATTGCTTGAACCCGGGAGATGGAGGTTTCGGTGAGCCGAGATGGCATCATTGCACTCCAGGCTGGGCAACAAGAGCAAAATTCTGTCTCAAAAAACAAAAACAAAAACAAAAACAAAAACAAAAACAAAAACAAAAAACAAAAAAACAAGCCCACAAATATTCTAAGTAACCATGGGATAGAAAAATCTCTGTGGCTATTTACCTCCCCTAAGGACCACAAAAGCATGGAAGGGTGGGCCTCATGCCCCGCCATCGTAACTGACTACAAACACCACACTTGGAGACCAGGAAATTATATCCCTCCTGGTTAAGAAGAAATCATAATTGTTCTGTGTCACATTAAAAAAAATACAGCATATGTGGCAAACAGGATGCCAGCTTAGTACATTGGCTTTCAGGTGGGCAGAAACTTGTTTTGGGTAGGGCTCTTCCAAACCAGCTGGTTTTTCTTATTTCTTCTAGCTTAGCTACTTCCCTGGCTGGTGGCAAAAGCGCTCTGCTGCTGGGGCTCAGGCTAAATGCCAAGATGTTCATGAGCCCTCTCCTGGCTTCATGTCTCAGTGAGGAAGCTCCTAAATGAGGCCACGCAAAGCTACAAATTACATCACAGATCTTTTCTTGAGCATAAGATTTAGCCCATGTGTTGGGATTATTTAACCATGATGCATAGCGGAGGAAAATATCAGGTCTGGTTACAAATGAGAGCATAAAACAGGACAAGGGGAGAGGCACGGTTATGTAGTTACCCTTGCCAAAGTCTCTTTTTTCTTTTCTTTTTTCTTTTTTCTTTTTTTGAGACAGGGTCTCACTCTGCCACTCAGGCTGGAGTGCAGTGACATAATCATAGCTCACTGCAGCATCCTCCTGGGCTCAAACAATCTTCCCACCTCAGCCTCCTGAATAGCTGGGACAGGTGCATGTCACCACAACCAGCTAATTAAAAAATTTTTTTTGTACAGACGAGGTCTTGACATGTTGACCAGGCTGGTCTTGAACTCCTGGGCTCAAGCAATCTGCCACTTCTGCTTCCCAAAGTGCTGGGGTTACAGGCATGAGCCACCATGCCCAGACCAAAGTCACTTTCAACAGAAATTTGGAATCCAAAGCAAGCCAATGGGTAAGGTAGTTTACTTCAGTTTGTTTACAGAATAAGAGCTGTCACATGTGGCTTCATTTTATCCGGCTTGGTAAAAATATTCCAACCTGTGACTGAATTCTGATTTTTTTCCCCCTAATTGTCCCACCTTTACTTCCCCTTTGTTTTGACATCTTGCAAATGGAGGGGCTCCCCAGTAAGGTGAGGGCTCTTGGGTGTGTCCCGCAGCTGACTAGTACAGAATCGGGGCTTACCAGAAAAAGGCTCACTGAGCAGTTTCTCCATAGGAGTGGTATGACCCATACCTTCAGGAGAATAATTTTTAGAAACAGCCAAGACAGGGCAAAAATTTATTCCATGTAGTCCCCAAAATTATCCAGAGCAGGAAAATGATAAAAAAGTAATTACAGGCTGAGTGTGGTGATTCCTGCCTGTAATCCCAGCACTTTGGGAGGGCAAGACAGGAGGATCGCTTGAGCCCAGGAGTTCAAAAACAGCCTGGGCAAAATAGTGGGACCCTGTCGCTACAAAAAATAGAAAAATGAGCAGGGTATGATGGCATGCACTGGTAGTCTCAACCACTCAGGAGGCTGAAGTAGGAGGATCTCTCAAGCCCTAGAGGTCCGAGGCTGCAGTGAACCATGATCACGCCACTGCACTCCAGCCTGGGTGATAGAATGAGACCCTGTCTCCAAAATAATAATAATAATAATAATAATAATAATAATTGGTTAATGTGTTATACAGTTATGGGGACAGAAGAGACCAACCCTATTGCATAATCTTAAAGTATACAGGGATTGGGTTTTGAAATTAAATGTATCTAAAGTCGCTTCTTCCCCTCCTCCCTGGCTTTTGCCCTTCACTTGCTATCTCTGACCCTGTTTCCTTTCTAATACTTAATCTGTAATATCTGCTTGTTTAATGTCTGTCTCTCTCCTAGAATATGAGTTCCATGAAGGCAGAGGAGCCTTCCACATCTGTCCTATTTTCTGCAGAGCTGAACACAGTGCCTAAGACACATTAGTCACTCAGTAAATATTCGTTGACTGTACCTCAAATCCACAAACTCAATTGTACAATAAATAGCACATGCTCAATTTCCTTAAATGCCTAAAAGTTGATTTAAGCCGTGACTGAAGCTCCTTCCCCTCAATGGACAGCATCAGAATCCAGGGGCTTAGACAAGATCACCTAAAAACCTTTGTTGACCTTAAGCATGTTTACTTTAAGAAACAGGATCCTGCCAGGTGCACTGGGTCACACCTGTAATCGCAACACTTTGGGAGGCTTAGTTGGGAGAATTGTTTGAGGTCCAGAGTTTGAGACCAGCCTGGGCAACATACCCAGACTTCATCTCTTAAAAACAAACAAACAAACAAACAAAAAAACAGTTGGCCAGGTGTGATGGCTCACACCTGTAATCCCAGCACATTGAGAGGCTGAGGCAGGCAGACCAGTTGAGGTCAGGAGTTTGAGGCCAGACTGGCCAACATATGGTGAAACCTGTCTCTACCTAAAATACAAACTTACCAAGGCATGATGGTGCACACCTGTAGTTCCAGCTACTTGGGAGGCTGAGGCAGGAGAACTGCTTGAACCCAGGAGGCAGAGGTTGCAGTGAGCTGAGATCAAGCCATTGCACTCCATCCAGGGTGACAGAGTAATATTCTGTATCAAAAAAAAAAAAAAAAAAAAAAAAAGAATATGGTCTCACTATGTTGCCCAGGGTAGAGAAGAGTGGCTATTCATAGGTGCAATCATAGGGTGCTACAGCCCTGAACTCCTGGGCTTGGGACCCAGCTGGGACTACAGGTGTGCCACCCTGCCTGGCTTTTACTTTTACTTTTGAGAGTTTCATTCCACATCATAAATCAAATATATTTTTTTAAAAAACACATTATATGTGCTTTCTGCTACAAAATTTTTGAAAGAATCTTTATAACTTGTATAGATTTTGAATTTTGTTAATAAGTTATTCATTTGGTTCTTGATTAAACATTATTATTTAACAGTTGGGTTATAGTTGACACCAGGTTGCATTTTACAGATGCTTACAATTTGATTAATTTTGCTATGTTCTTCTCATATCTTGGGGCCAATCATTTTTTTCTGGGTCTCAAATATTTTCACAAGCTCTTAGAAAGCCTGCAAACACAGGCACTATGCCTGTAGTGACTGATAAATAAAGTAGCTCTCAGCAAGATGCGGTGGCTCACACCTGTAATCCCAGCCTATGTAAGAAATCAGCCACTCTGGCTGGGCGTGGTGGCTCACACCTGTAATCCCAGCACTTTGGGAGGCCAAGGCAGGCAGATCACCTGTGGTCAGGAGTTCGAGACCAGCATGGCCAACATGGTGAAACCCCGTCTCTACTAAAAATACAAAAATTAGCTGGGCGTGGTAGCATGTGCTGTAATTCCAGCTACTCAGGAGGCTGAGGCAGGAGAATTACTTGAACCCGGGAGGCACAGGTTGCAGCAGTAAGCTGAGATCACATCACTGTACTCCAGCCTGGGCAACAAGAACGAAACTCCATCTCAAAACAAACAACAAAACAAACAAACAGACAACAATAACAAAAAAACTAGCTCTTGGTTTGCCTGCTGTTTAGAAAATAGAAGAGTGGGCTCTCACTTCCAGGTGGTCGTGGTTGCTACTGACCTCTTCCTAGTCCAAGTTAGAAGTAAGCCCTCTGTCCTTGCATGACCTTTAGAGAGATGCAGAAAACTTTGCCAAGGTTAGGAAGGCTAATGCTTAGAGTCCTACTTTCCTAGAGGCACTTTGCAGCCACCTGCTATAATGTCTTGTCACCTGCTTGGGTACCATCACAGTACAGGTACAAGGCTCCCCACTGCTTTTGAGGCCCACAGACCTCTCCTTCTTAATCCAGAAAGCTCTCCATCCTTTCTCCTCTTGCTCTCAAAGCCTTCCTCCTTCTCTTTCCCCACCCTCTGGAATACTTCCCAATATATTTTTAGCTTTTCAAAATGCAGGCAAAACCATTGACTTCAATCTGCTTCTGCTCTGTGTGTGGCAAAAATTGTGGGTGAAGGAAGCCCAAAATGGTCTACTTGTTTTAGGGGAGTTACTCATTTTACGTTATTATTCCACAAAGGAATGGATTCAAAACTTACCTCTGCCATTTACTAGATCTGTGACTTTTTTTCTTTTCTTTTCTTTTTTTTTTTTTTTTTTTGAGAGAGAGAGTCTCTCTCTGTCCCTCAGACTAGAGTGCAGTGGCATGACTCTGGCTCACTGCAACCTCTGTTTCTTGGGATCAAGCAATTTTCCTGCCACAGTCTCCCAAGTATCTGGGACTACAAGCACTTGCCACCACGCCCAGCTAATTTTTGCATATATTTTTTTAGTACAGATGATGGGGTTTTATCATGTTGGGCAGGCTGGTGCTGAACTCCTGACCTCAACTGATCTGCCCACCTCAACCTCCTAAAGTGCTGGAATTACAGGCATGAGCCACCTCGCCCAGCCTAGTTCTGTGACTTTGGACAAGCATTCTAACCTCTTAAAGTTTCCTCACCTGTGAAATGAGGACAATAATACCTACCTTTCTAGATTGTTGGGAAGATTTAATTAAGGGGATGACATACTTAAAGTTCAAGGCACTATGGCTGGGACATATTGGAAGTATATAAATGTTCATTCTTATTCCCTGTGTTTGCATTTCCAACAGATAAAACCATTAGTGTACCAGCAGAGCCCATTATTGCTGCATGTGTTGTGGTCTTTCTGACATTGTGCTTTGGACTGATTGCTAGAAGAAAGAAAATAATGAAGGTATCTAAGTATTCTGAGCTATTTAGGTAAAAAGCCGTCATCTGAATGAAGGCAGAAAGCTAGAAATACAAGTGACTTCAGTTAGGAACCTTTCTTGGCAAAGTTGAATCTGGTCTTTCTGCCATGTGTTCTAAAATACAGTTGCTCAAGGGAATAAAAATTATATATATATTATGAGTACAGATTTACAAAGAAGAGAAGTGCACATGGGCAAAGCCTGAATTGAAAATAGCTGTGTTGTCAGGGGTAGGGAATTTGGGGCTGATTTTCCTTCCTATTAAATTTCCCTTTATTGTTGCTATGGTATCTGTGGTATAATAAATAAATATAGGGAGGAACATCTGCTCTAGATTCAGAGATCTGCATGAAAAAGATGGCACTGGCTGCTCACCTCTGGACTACGGCCACATGCCTTGGCTGCAGTGGGCTGGGGTTTGAATTATAAAGGGGTTATCCTCATCAGTTGGCATGATTCAGAATATGTGCATGCATAGGTTAATGCCATGCATTTGACTCTGCCAGCTCATCCAGTGCCAAAGGAGAGCAAATACGGCAGAAAGCCCTAGGCCCAGTTCATTATTCAGCAAGGGGCATTCTCCTTGGAACACATGGGCAGCCATGTCTCCCAAGAAGCAATTCACTCCACTCCCTATTCCAATCCAGAGCTTTGTTGTTGTTGTTGTTGTTGTTGTTTTGGAGATAGAGTCTTACTCTGTTTCCCAGGCTGGAGTACTGTGCCATGATCACAGCTCACTGTAGCCTCAACTTCCTGGGTTGAAGCGATCCTCCTACCTCAGCCTCCCAAGTAACTGGGACCACAAGCATGCACCACCACACCTGGCTAAGTTTTGCATTTTTTGTAGAGACAGGGTTTCACCATGTTGCTGCCCAGGCTGGTGTTGAACTCCTGAGCTCAAGCCATCAGTCCACCTCAGCCTCCCAACATGCTAGGATTACAGGCACGAGTCACCATGCTCAGACACAAAGCATTTTTTTCTTTTTCTTTTCTTTTTTTGAGACAGAGTCTCCCTCTGTCTCCCAGGCTGGAGTGCAATGGCATGCTCTCGGCTCACCACAACCTCCGCCTCCTGCATTCAAGCAATTCTCCTGCCTCAGCCTCCCAAGTAGCTGGGATTACAGGTGTGCACCACCACACCCGGCTAATTTTTGTATTTTTGCTAGAGACTGGGTTTCATCATGTTGGTCAGGCTGATCTCGAACCCCTGACCTCGTGATCTGCCTGCCTCAGCCTCCCAAAGTGCTGGAATTACAGGTGTGAGCCACTGTGCCCGGCTCTTTTTTCTTTTTCTTTTTCTTTTTTTTTTGAGACAGTCTCAATCTTGTCACCAGGCTGGAGTGCAGTGGCCCGATTTCAGCTCACTGCAACCTCCACCTCCTGGGTTCAAGTGATTCTCCTGCCCCAGCCTCCTGAGTAGCTGGGATTACAGGCATGAGCCACCATGCCCAGCTAATTTTTGTATTTTTACTAGAGATGGGGTTTCATCACATTGGCCAGGATGGTCTCAATCTCCTGACCTCGTGATCTGCCCACTTCAGCCTCCCAAAGTGCTGGGATTACAGGTGTGAGCCACTGTGCTGGCCTAAGCACTTTTTTTTTTTTCGGTAAAAAAAATAAATACTCAGGTATCTAAGATCCTGGAAGCATCTTAACTAAGAGTTACATCTTCTCTGCGTTTAATAAAAACTACTAGTATGGCCCCCAAAACGACACCTGAGCCAGTGCAGAGGTGGCTGTATTTCCACAGCACCTGTCCCTGAGCCATCTTAATGCATTCAAAATGCTTCTCCAGGTCCTTAAAAAGCAGGCTAATTTATTGCCATGTTTGCTTTTAGCTCTGCATGAAGGATAAAGACCCTCACAGGGAAACAGCTCTGTAAGTACTCTAGGCTGGAACCAATGCTTTTTAAATAAGCAGATGGATAGCAGTGATATACATCACTCTAGACAAACTCCAGAGATGGGAGGTGCTGGAAGGGGAAGGGGTTCAGAGGAGAATAGAAGGTGGAGGAAAATCTGCCTCCATTTTAGAGGAAGACAGGTTGAAAAGTTCCCTAGAGCAGAAAACACCTTTGGTCCTAAGCCTGGTCTCTCTTTAAGCAAGTTTGCCCAACGCTTGTGCAGCTGCATTTTATTGCCACATAACGCAAATGCCATGGTGGAAGCCACTGCTCCATGCTCCTTTACAACAAGACCAGGGGCCACCTTCATCCTCATACTGCCTTCTCTTTGCAGCTTCATTTAGTGTTTCTAGCATACGTGGAGTGGGTAGTAGGTAGCAAGAACAAAGGCATGTTGTCAGGAAGCATGGGTTTTGTTTTGAATCTTTTTTTCTTATTGCTATTAGCATCATTATAATTAATTTCTTCATTCATTTCAGATGAGAAAGATGAGATGCATCGACTACAGAGAGAGAGTTTTGCATCAGGACCTCCACAATTTATGTAGTCCCATCTGTATTTATTGCTATTATTAAATTCACTCCTGTCACTTCTATTTCATTAATCACTTAACAGTAGTTGTTATGACTAATTTGATATACTTGTGGAACACTTTTATGGAGTGAGCTATTAAGAATGAAAAGTAAGATTTTGTTAAGTCTTCTCCTTGAAGTATACATTAATTAATTGAGATTTGTTCTAAATAGGTTGTTAGTCATTTACAGTTTAGTGTGTTTTCTCCTAGGTGGGAGATACTTTGGTTTCACAAATCAGTGCAAAACCAAAAAAAAAAAAAAAAAAAAAAAAAAGGGGGAGGCAACAAACAGAGTAATCAATGTTTTAAGTTGCTCAGGAAACACATTAAAAATATCAGTTATAGGCCGGGCGCGGTGGCTCAAGCCTGTAATCCCAGCACTTTGGGAGGCCGAGGCGGGTGGATCACGAGGTCAAGAGATCGAGACCATCCTGGTCAACATGGTGAAACCCCGTCTCTACTAAAAGTACAAAAAATTAGCCGGGCATGGTGGCGCGTGCCTGTAATCTCAGCTACTCAGGAGGCTGAGGCAGGAGAATTGCCTGAACCCAGGAGGCGGAGGTTGCGGTGAGCCGAGATCGCGCCATTGCACTCCAGCCTGGGCAACAAGAGCGAAACTCCGTCTCAAAAAAAAAAAAAAAAAAAATCAGTTATGCCAGGTGCCAGGTGTGTTAGCTCCTACAATCACAGCGCTTTAGGAGGCCGAGGCAGGCAGATCACTTGAGGCCAGGAATTCAAGACCAACCTGGCCAACATGGTGAAAACCATCTCTACTAAAAAGGCAAACAGCCGGGCATAGTGGCATGCACCTGTAATCCCAGCTACTTAGGAGGCTGAGGTAGGAGAATCACTTGAACCTGAGAGGTGGAGGTTGCAGTGAGCTGCGATGGCGCCGCTGCACACCAAACTGGGCGACAGAGTGAGACACTGTCTCAAAAATAGACAAACAAACAAAAAAATCAATTATAATCTACCTTCGCTATTGTTTCATAAAAAATGTTTTAGGACTAAAGAAAGAAAGAAGTCTATAATCTCGAAATATAAGATGGAACTTTAAATGGAATAAATTTAGTATTATGAAGAATTCAGCATATGTCCTTATTTTTCTCATCTCATTGTGTTGACATGGTCACAAATTTTGTGTGCCGGATGTGGCAATGCATGTTCAAAGAGCAATGAATGTGGTCATTTGCGTTATCTGTACTAATTCTGAGTCAGCCTGTACTGTTCTTATACATTCCCAGTTTAAACTGCAGCTCTCTTATAATTTATCATCGACGTTCCCCACCTCCATTCTTTCTTCTTTTTTTCCCCCATAAGTTTATGCTTCTCTTTCCCACACAACTGGGGGAGCTTGTAGGGAGAGGTAGCCTTGGCCAGAATCATCTTTGATGTCTCTTCTGTGCTCCTCCTCTCTTAGAAAAACAAAACAAAACTGTTTTCATCAATTTTGAAGTAGCTAAATGTACCACAGTGCGAGAGAGATCTGCTGTCAGACAGGTGGTAAAAAGCCTTCTTGACATAGAAGCAAAAAGAAGAAATTAGCAGAATGTATGAAATCTCAACAGACTTGTTTCAAAAAAGAACAGACATAATCCTCCTGTTAGCCTCTCTTTGCTTCCTTGGAAACTTCAGTATGAAATCGATGAGAGAGAGACTGCTACAGACTGTGAATTACAGATTTCTCTGTCTTCTTGGAGGATCCACAGGGTTTTGCGGGGAAGCCTCCAGATCACATGCCTCACTCAAGATTTCTCAAAGTAGAATCTGGAAACCCTGAGAGAACGCTACAGGGATAAAATTGGATTATGAAAAAATCTGAACGTTTAGATGATTAAGTAGAAGCCATGAGACTGTAAAGAAAGAAACAAATGTGAGGCAATGATGGCTGGGATAGTTTAAACATGGAAAAGGAAACAGAAAACTTACAAATCAAGTTGGAACTGGAATCAGGGGACCAGAGTTCTACTGTTGGCTCTGTTAACTTGGGCAGGAAAAATTCTCTTGGACCTTTGGGAAATGAGGAGGTTAGATTAGGAGAACATGTTAGAGTACATGTTCGCTAGAGAAGTCTATAATTCTCAAAAGATCCTACATAATTTAGTTAAATGCTGGAAAGAGTTGGCAAGAAACACTGAAAATGTAATCCCTTTGCCCCACCTAGTAGAATTATGAATCAGCTTTGTTCTAGGGCATACAGCAATCCTTGAGAATTACGAGTCATAAGAAAAGAGTTTCCTCACCCTTATAAAATATAGTGACCTTGTACATTAGCACAGGTAAGAAACATTAACTAGTTTTAACAGAGCACAGCAATATTGTAAATGGTCATTGCATTTCATTTTGCCTTGCGGTTTGGAAAAAAACAGAACCTGTATTAAAAACTAAGTATATTATTAACACTGAAATCATAAATGAGCCTGCTTGAGGAGGACATGAAATTCCAGACCTCAAAAGAAGACCCCACTGCCTTTTCCCAAATGTCTTTTCCACTTACTATGCGATACCTGAAATTCCAACATTCATTCTTCTGGTTTTGACCCATAGGACTAAAAGTAGCAGCAGAGAAGTGACAATCCCAGTGTCTCCCTTCTCAACCTTTCCACCAGTAAGGATACCTCTTGTTATTATCACATTCTGCCTCTTGGACCCCATTTTCCCAAGAACTAATCTATGAAGCAACCTTTATTTATTAAATAATAATAATTTGGCTGGGTGCGGTGGCTCATGCCTGTAATCCTAGCAGTTTGGGAGGCTGAGGTGGGTGGATCACTTGAGGTCAGGAGTTCAAGACCAGCCTGGCCAACATAATGAAACCCCATCTCTACTAAAAATACAAAAAAAATTAGCCAGGCGTGGTGGCGGGCACGTGTAATACCAGCTACTAGGGAGGCTGAGGCAGGAGAATTGTTTGAACCTGGCAGGCAGAGGTTGCAGTGAGCCGCAAACATGTCATTGCACTCCAGCCTGGGCAACAAGAGTGAAACTACATCTCGAAAAAAAAAAAAAATTGGAAAAACAGATAATAATTTTTTTTTAGATGGAATTTTGCTCTTGTCACCCAGGCTGGAGTGCAATGGGGCGATCTCAGCTCACTGCAACCTCCGGCTCCCAAGTTCAAGCAATTCTTATGCTTCAGCCTCCCAAGAAGCTGGGATTACATGTGTGCGCCACCAACGCCCGGCTAACTTACATGTTTTTAGTAGAGACAGAGTTTCACCATGTTGGCCAGGCTGGTCTCAAACTCCTGGCCTCAAGTGATCCACCTACCTCAGCCTCCCAAAGTGCTGGGATTACAAGTGTGAGCCACTGGACCAGCTCAGATCTTCTGATTCTTTAAGAGAAGTCAGATATCTGAATTTTTATGTGTAATTCCCCTAATTTAAAAATGTTTTTTGTTTGTTTGTTTTAATCCCAAATATCTAGGAGTAGAAGGATCCTCTTACCCCATTATATGCCATCCTCCAGAAGGTAGGTTCTAACAATGTTGACTTGGGCTTTCATTGTCTCATGGAGATTTTTGTGAAACTGCTTTTGGAATTCTCATTCATTGCTTCCCCAGAGATCAGGCATGATCATGAGGAGCTAAGTCAGGAGACAGTTACCTATGCTTGGCTGAGGATTTACGCACAAGATTTTACCCTATAAACAATCTTATACAGTGTAAAATGGTCATGATTGCCGCAACTTTGGCGATGAGGACACTTGGGTTCAGAATGCATAATTAATGTATAGAGAATGACTAATCTGAGATTCATACCCAGGCTGATCCAAAGCCTGGGACTGGAGTAGGAAGGAGGATATCACAGAAGGGGTAAAGGTTGAATAATAAAAATTTCACCTCTCTCATAATATGCTGAGAGTGATATCCATATTAATCCCACTTCTAATGACCTGTAGAGAATTTGTTTCCAGAAATAAAGGAAATTTACAATAATCTTAGTTGGAGAGCCTTTTGGAAATGTTACAACACTCCTGGAGATAATTTGCAATACCATGCAGTGTTGCAGGACTGGAGCTGAGAATTGCTGCCCTAAATATTTGCTTGTCCTCCTGATGATAATAATCACCAAGTATTACTCTTTGTCAAGGGGTGGTTTGCATAGATCATTTGTGATCTTTGCAACAACTCCTGAAAAGTAGGCGTTGGAGCCTCCATTTTATTGGTAAGGAAAGGGAAGAGCTGAGAAACAAAATAACTTTGGTTGAAGTTATAAAACTAGCATGAGATCAAGTTGAAATTCAAATGTAGGGCAGTCTGACCCCACAGGCCATGCTCTTTTCCCTACACTACATGGTCCTAGGGCAAGGGTATGAGGATAAAGATGCTTGAATGTGATTGAGAGCATCTTGCTGTGTTAAGGTTCTGGGAATTGTGGCAGAGGTATTTATCATTCACCGAATATCCTTGAGCTCTTCACATTCCCCTGCCCCCTTGCCATTAGGCAGTCCATGTGACTAGTTCTGGCAGAGAAACTATGAATAGAATTATGGTGCCACTTCTGGGCAAAGCAGGATGGGTACATGTTCTTTAGGTTCTTTCTTTGCCTGACATGGCTGCTGGCAAGGTGGAGAGATGTTGGAGATGTCACAGCATCTGTCAGCCTGGGGTTCTGAATAACTATGTGGGGCAGAGCTCCCTGCTCACATGTAAGTAATGAACATGAATACAGTACTTCCTGTATTCTTCCTGTATTCTTGTTTAAGCCACTAGATTTTAGGTTTAATTTGCTACTGCAGCCTACCTTAGCAGGCTTATTCTGACTGATGCAAATATTTTTATTATAGTAAGAATGCAAGAGAAAGTTGCATTTAGTCTACGACATACAATAATCCTTGAGAATTACGGGCCATAAGTAATGAGTTTCCTCACTCTTAATTTCAGAGGCAAACTCCTTAATAACCCCTAATCCTCCTACTGTGGACCCTGAATCATATATCATACTGAATAACCTGCAATAAAAAATGCTTTTCTCTTTGAATAGACTTACCATTTATTTTTTTATGATTTTTTTTTTCTAGAAAGACCCAGATCAGAGCTAGGCTTAACATCCCACTGATAACACATCTTTGAGGAGATAGGGCAACAGGAGTGTGAACCAGAATAAAATTTGTCTTTTTATTTTTAAAAAATCAGTTCATACTTAATCTCATGCCAGAGACTGTAGGAAATAAAATTGACACATTAATCACAAATTTCCTAATACTCAGGTAACCTTTTCCCAAGATCGTATCTCTGCAACTTCAAGGTTGCTATGTAGCA